AGCCCAGCCCTCGGGTTCCACCTTGTCGAGCTCTGCTTCATCCTCAAACAGCTCTGCATGTCGGAAAGGCGACGTGAGCGAATCGGGCGGGCTGGCAGCGCTGCGGGCGGACGCGCGTCGGCTAGGCGAGCCCGAGTGCCACACGGCGACCGCCCCGGCCTCCCAGCACCGCCAGGCCCAGGGGCTGTGACGGAAACCCGTTACGCCTCACGGAGGAACGGCCCTCAGAGCCACGCAGAGACCCAGCAGCAGCCCATCCCCCAGAACGCAGCGAACCCAGCTCGGCCCCCGCGAGAGGAGGCGGCGGCGGTCCCGCGACAGCGCTCGTTACCTTGCCGCTCGGAGGCGCCGCCATGTTGCTGGAGTGTTTATGATGACGTTGCGCTCTTCACGTGCTTCCACACTGACCCACAACAACGCCCGTCGGCCCCTGGGCGGGCGGCGCATGCGCAATCGGGAGGAGACGCCCATGCGCCCGTCTCTGAGGTAGTGCGCCTGCGCGGCGGGCGGAGGGAGGTCAGCCAGCTACCTTCCTGCGTGCGTGGGTTGCGGGCTCCGGGAGTGAGACTCTCTCATAGGATTCAAAAAGGTACCGCTGGGAGTACAGCGGTAAACTCTGCACCTTCCTGCCGATGTCCCGTTACGTTTTGTTGTCATGTGACAGGACGGCATCTGACGCGCAAGTACGTGTGAGGCAAAGGAATTCGCTGAATTTCTTCATAGGGAAGACGTTGCAGCCGCTGACGTTCATTGACGCTTGCTGAATGTTTTTGGAGAGCAAAAAGCGGATGTGAGCACGGAGAGGTGATGGGTGGCCCATTTCAGCGGTGATGACAGCAGCAGTGGGGTCACCTCTGCTGGTGCACGTTTTGAAAAGCGTGGCAGGCAGGTTTTTGTTCATTGCTGGTGAAAAAGCATAGCTGGAGGTGGTAACTATGCTTTATGTAACTATATAAAAATAGTATTCTGTAGCTGAGAACTTGCTCTGTCAAATAGTGCTACTGAACTCTTTGTGGTAGCTTCCGTGGAAATAAATAAGAGGCACTACTTTTAGGGCAACCTATCTTTCTACAACAGAAGGAAAGGATGGCATCCAGAGTGACATGGACATGCTTGAAAAGTGGGCATACATTAAACCTAATGAGGTTTAACGAGGCCAAGTGCAAGGTGTTACACCTGGCACAAGGCAATCCCAGATACCTGTAAAGGCAGGGGGAGCTCAATGAGAGCAGCCCTGTAGAGAAAGACTTGGTGTTCTGGTGGACAAAAAGCTGGACATGAATCAGCAGTGTGCTCCTGCAGCCTGGGAGGCCAACAGCACCGTGGGCTGCAGCAAAAGAGGGGTGGCCAGCAGGGAGAGGGAAGCGATTGTCCATCTCTACGCTGCCCTTGTGAAACTCTATCTGGAGTATGGTGTGTAGGTCCCCAGTATGGTAAGGATGCAGAGTGTTGATGCAGGTCCAGAGGACCACAAAGGTGATCAAAGGGCTGGAGCACCTCTCCTGTGAAGAAAGGTTGAGGCAGTTGGGCTTGTTTAGCTTGGAGGAGTCTTTGGGGAGATCCCATTGCAGCCTTCCAGTAGTTATAGGAAGTTTGTAAGAAGGAGAGGGACCGACTTTTTACATGGTCTGATTGTGAAATAACAAGGGATATTGGCTTTAATGTAGAAGATAGATTTAGCTTAGTCGTTAGGAAGAAATTTTTTATTCAGAGGTGCTGGAACAGGCTGCCCAAGTATGAATGCTCCATCCTTTGAGGTGTCCAAGGCCAGGTTAGATGGGGCCTTGGGCAAACTGATCTGGTGGTTAGCAACCCAGCCCATTTAGAACTTGATAAAAAGACAAAGCTATGTGCAATTAATCCCTACGAAAGGCAACAGCTAGGGCTTGGACTAGATTGGAAGAGGACAAAAGTTATAGGAAAGATACAGTCTTCAAAAATCATTGTCCAGTAAATAGTTGATCGTCTCTGAAGCTCAATGGAGCCTGAATGCCTGTACAATCACAGTGTTCTGGTTACAGTTTCTGGAGCAAAACACATGAGAAGACATTGACCAAAAACCTTACCTTTAGAGCACTCCTGATCTTTGAATCCAGTGTTGTGCCCAGCCCTACTCAGTATGCATTTCAAAAGGAAAGAAGAGATTAGAATGAAAAGAAACTTCTGCATTCTTCAAATAGAGACTGTATGCACAGATGGGGCCAACGTTTTGCCAATATACATGTAAACTGCAAAAGCAACATTTAAGTAATTCTGAAAATAAAGTTTTATAGAGAAATGTATGCCAATAGGAGAATCCTAGAACCATGAAATATTTGTCCTTATTTAATGACGTTTTAAACCCTTGATTCTCAGGAATTCTCCAAGAAGCACCAGAGGGAAAAGGTAGCCTTCAGTGGCCATGAAACAAGTCAGAAATTAAAAGTTTTTACTTCTGTTCTGAAGCTGCAACAGGGAGCAGCACAGCACAACCTGAAGGAGCTGTCAAGTAAAGAATTTAAACCCATTTGCATTACTGCTGGACATCAGCTAGTAACTGTACTTCCAGAGTTAATATAATTTTGTTGGAAAACATCACAAGAATATACCCTATCAGGGTGTGTGTGTAAAGTCTCTGGGTGAAGAAAAATCATGCTGGTCACAGGACAAATCTTCAACTTTCTGTCTAAAGCATTACAATTTAATACATTCGTTGGCCTAAGAACTAATCTTTGGGAAATTTCCACTGCTCTTGAACTCAGCTTGGTACCCACTGAATTGCACCCCTAAGTTTAAAATTAATCTTCACTAAGTGGCAGTCCTCCACAACTAGAGTTATTCTTGTTTCCTAGAGAAGTCTTCTCTTAAAAGTGACCCAAAGTTAAACTTGAGACACTTCCCAGAGTTTGCACTGAGACTTTATTTTCCTTTGATGGAGGTCACAGAATCACAGAATTGTAGGGGTTGGAAGGGACCTCTAGAGATCATGAATTCCAACCGCCCTGCAAAGCAGGCTCCCTATAGCTCTATTCTCTTTCCACCACACAACAGAAAGAGTTTTTACTGGAAGATTCTTTGATGAACAATCAGCAGTTCCTGCAGGACTCTTCCTGGAACTTCTACTGCAGTGCATTCGTAGAGTCCCAGTCACCAACTGCCATCAAGAAATCAGAAAGCTTTGGTCCCGTAGACTAATTTACTCTGAGATGCATTACCACTGTCCAGCTAGTTTCCTAATTTACCAGGCATTTCCCTTGGGCTCTTCTAAACTTGTTCTTTTGCAAACTACCATTGCATAACACGGAACATGTCCCTAGTCAAGATGAAGAGCAAAATGACTCTTTGCTAGTGGGTTGCAGTGTCATAGGATCACTTAGAGGTGGAGGTCAGCAGGGACCATCTAAGCCCTCCTGCTCACAGCAAGACTGCTCAGCACCTTGTCCAGTTGAGTTCTGAGTTATCTCTAGTAATAGAGACAACCCAGCTTTCCTGATCAATCTGTTCTAGTGCTTGTCTTACCTTGCAGTGACAAAGATTTTTCTTGTGCTTAAATGCTTCTCGTATTTCAATTTGTGCCTGTTTCTTTTTGTCCTGAGAAGAGTCTGGCTCCATACTTTTTGCTTCCTCTCATGAGGTACTTTTAAACACTGGCAAGATCCCCTGTAACCTTCTTGAGACCTTCTTGAGCAGTCCCAGCTCTCAGCTTCTTATTACAACTGAAGAGCTCTAGCTCGAGTCCCTTAATTGCCTTTAGCAACCCTCAGTAGAGCTTGTTCCAGTATGTGCACGTCTCCCTTGTACTGGGCAGCCCAGCACTTCAGAAGTCTCTCACTAGTGCTGATAAGATCACCTATCCTCACCTGCTGGCGGCAGTCCTCCTAATGCAGTTCAGGAGGCCACTGGCCATCTTTGTAGTTTATAGTTAACGTTGTCTACCAGGACACTCAGCTCTTATCTGCAAAGCTGCTTTCCAGCCAGTCGCTGCGCTATTTCAATTTACAAACCTGAGCCATACACGATACCAAGATACACAAGCTGATACAGTGTTAGGAGATTCCTCTCTGCAAGCCCATTAAGAACACGAGGCATTCTGCTGACCTGTGCTAGAGCCCAGCCATTCATGCACCACACAGTTGGAAATCACATGAGGAGGGCATCATCACCTTGGTTGTCCATGCTTCTGTGGATTTTAACTAGCCATCTGCTCTAATAAGAAGCCACATAAAGGTAGTCAGTAAGCACGCAGCTGGAAAGTGTTCCTGGCTTTCCTGTGGGTTCTAGCTGTCACAGCTGCAATTGTAGCTATTATAGCCGTGCCAAGAGCTGCAGCAGTTGCTATTGTTGTTCACACAGCTATTTCAGCAGAGCTCCAGGCTCCGTTCCCATATTCAGAAGTGTCAGCTGCCCACACACTCAGCCACGCAAAAACCTGGCTTGCATAGGACAAGTACACATTCTGTCAAGTCCTTCCATCAAACAAACCTAATTTGTACAAACAAAAACCTTACAATAGGGAGGAGAAAAAAAATAGTGCCAAAAAAAAAAAAAAAGTCCTTCCCTGTGACCTCTTTTTCTGCTTATAAAAAAATGGATGTTTCAAGCCCTGCTTTGACAGATGTAACCCAGGCACACAGATGAAAGTTGTACCGTACCATTTCCTCTTGAGGCCAGAAGTGCTCATGCCCAGGTCTAATTTATATAGCAACAATAAAATGTAGCCTTTGGGACAAGCTAGAATCTTCCAAACTCATTTTACTGCCTTTCTCTCAATGTTGAAACAAAGAGATAACCATCTTTCCCACCTGTTCCTCTAAGAAAACATACGGTGCCTAACCTGTACAAGTAGAGTAAGCAGGTAGAATGATGTCATATGCTTGACTTCCTTTTGCTGCCAGATCAGACAAGAACAAAGGAATTAGGAAGACACACTGAAATTAAAAGGAGGGAAATCCCTCTCCCTGCTAACGTTTATTTGCATTTGGTTGTGAAGGCATGGAGATGAAAAACATGAAGGCAGTACACCAGATGAGGAGCTTTATTCAAGCAATTGTAGCATGTCATGTTTTGCCTGTACATAACCATAGCTGTGAATTTGTGTGAGAACCTGATTTTTTTTTTTCATCTAGGCTTATCAAATACGAACAGAATTCCAGAATATGATACAACCCAAAACATACAGGACTTAGAATAAGAAAACATTGCAGTTGTTATAACCAGTGGCAATCTTACAGTGATTTCGTTTGCTCTGTGGGACAAGAAAATTTACCTTTTAAATATAAAACAAGCAGAACAGATACCAACATGAAATGCTCTGTATTTGCCATACAAGGAGAGATTTGTGATTGCATCAGTCTCCAGAGAGTAGCTGGAAAGTATCCGAGCGTGATGACTAAACAGAAACTGATCTGTTGTTTGCTGGTTGGCACGAACAAGTATTGCCAAAGCTAGGAATCCAGAAGACAAAAACAAGTAGTAGTAATCCACTTCTAGGCATGTATTACAACACAATCAAAGAGCAATATCTCCCAGAAACAGAAGTAAACTAACTAAACAATGGTTTTAGAGTGAGGGCATTTCATCTTAACTGTTCAGAATGCGGTGCTAGGGATGGGCCTGTTATTAACACAGCACTTCCTTCCTTTTCTAATTTGCCATTCTAACCCACTCTGGAGATCACTGTTTTCAACACAAGCTGAAATTCCTGAGTCCCAAAAATGCATGAGTGTCTCACAGTGCCAAGCACTGCAGCACTCACATACTAAAAGGACGGTCAGGGTTATTGCAATGCACCAGGCAAAGTATCATCTAATGTCATTTTTAATTTCAACATTTCTGAGGTCTGTGGGCACATTTTACGATGAAGGATTGTTTTGTAGTTACTCTAAGCAATGTCACAAAGCAATGGCATGCATCCCTCATGAGAGCAGGCTGGCCATGAGAGGTGCACTGGCTCCTTGCTTTTTGAAGGGTTTACCACAGGACTCCCACTACAGGGCATTATGAGAAGCAGCCCATCCACTTGTCACTATTTAATATAGCCCCTTTAGTAAGGCGCTGACAGTGCATGGACAGAATAAATCAATGGGAGAACTACATTTACTCCTAGAAGCTCTTAAGATTTTACTTCTTTGATCAATAAGCATCTCAAGTAGAAAATACACCCTGACATAAAGATAGTAGGATCTAAGTATTGACTTATGAAAAGTGCAAATAAAGAAGTTAAGAACCACTAAGGCAGCAACTGTGCAAACCCTCCTTTCCTTTTGCTTGCTATTTTCATTCACAATATCCGTCCAGTTCAAATCCTTCGCATCAGCTGAACAGTAACTTTCACTAGAGAAGTGAGACCAAACATCCATTAGAGAGAGGGGACATCAGTATTATATGAACACAACACTGCTGGTAAACTCCCAGTCTTGAGCCTTGGTTCCACGTTCATAGAACTGGCAAGTGTGGTTCAACAGCAGCTGCTTCTCCCTTCTCAGTTCTTGCAGGCTGCCAGACAGGTCTGCAGAACCAAAGCTGCATTTTCATGGGTCCCCACTCATTCTATGTTCTCCAGGGTGTATGATGGCATAATTTAAAGTAACCTTTCTGAACCTGATTTTGCACCTTCAAGTCATCTTTCAGCAGATCATGCTCAGATAGGTTCCAAAACTTGTAATATGAAGAAAAACATAACCTCAATCTTTACCAAGTCTTTTTAAAATCAGGCCACTCCTCACCCACGCCCAGTAATTTCAAGGGGTCCTTTATTTCAGATTGTTCAAGTTTCAAATTATGTAATTTATTATATGTAAGAATAATTTTCAGATATGACAGTAAGAAGGTTTTAGCTTTGTGGTTTTTCATATTTCCCAGCTGTTTTCTTATAACAGTTTTCAGTACACATTTGTCTTCTATTGATCCATTCCAGCTAATATGGATTTTGACTTTTCCTACTTGGCATGAGTGTTTTATCAATGCCTAAAAAGTTCTTATGTTCTTATTTGACTCTTGGTATTAATTTATCACATAACTATCTCCCTTTAAATGCACTCTGACAACTATTTGGGAACTTCAGCTGCAGCAGCGCATTGGGAAAATTAAGAATCACAACTGGTACAGTATTTCTTAATATCTTTTCAAAGAAGTCTCGTAACTACAAATTCCAAATAAAGTATTAGTACAACACTTGACAATGTCATGTTACTTGATGTTAAAACTGCTGTGTCCTTTTCAGTGTTGGCTCCTGCCTTACTACAGTTTTCCTTGGGTTCAGAATAAGTAATTCTATTTGATCAAGCCAGGTAAACTCAATGAGCTTATCAGATGAGAAAAATCCAGTCAATCAGTAAAATGCCTGTACAGTGAAATAGTACTGATGGCACTCAAGTATTTTTAAGTGCTTTCCTCTTCTTTTTCCATTAAGAAACTGCCTAATCAGGCTTTTGTGTAGTTTCCTGTCTGAAAAGGAAAAAAACATTTTTCCTACACCTTGAATCCCAAGTCTGTTGACCTTTCAGAATGGAGCATGGTTAACTTGAAGGGTGTACAGTTCAGTTTAACAGTTTCAACTGCTCAAAAAAGATGTGAATTTAGATTTATGACAGTCCATCAGACATTCAGCAATAGATGAAAAAGTAGTTATTAATCTCTTCAATCCTCTCTACTTAGATTTCTTCTAAGTCAGTATCCTAGAGTCTGAATTCAGTTACCAGCTATAACAGGGACTGTGAGTTCAGTATCTGCCCCTTACTGGTTGGGAGGCAGGATACAAACAATTGCTACAGCAGACTGGGAAAGATCATCGCAATAGTAATATTCATCATTCTTTGTTGTGATACTTTCAGCAAGATTAGAATCAAAAACAAATGTCAATAAATGAAAAAAGTTCCTCTTAAGAAACTGTTCTCAAAAAACAAAACAAAACAAAACAACAAAACAAAAAACCCACATTCCTAGACTGGGAAGAATTGGGTATCAGTGCTATGAAAGAGCTGGTAAAGCAAGCAAGCAAAGGGTATGATGTGTCTCTTTTCCTATACAGGGGGATCTCAGGCAAGGAAGGTTTCCTGTGGTATTTGTTTCTTAATGAGGAAAACTAGCCAACAGCAGGAAGAAACATAATCCCCTTACTGACCACTCTGTAGCTGCATCAGGCCATGCTGCACATCTGGAGGCACACAGCAGAGGAAAGTAGAAGCTATTTTTCCTCATTTACCTTTCAGCATCCTCTTATTGATTAAATAATCAAACTTCCAAGCTGTCCAACATAGGAGAGTGCCCAGCTACTCCCTGCAGTCAGACATTTCAGGGCTGTGGAACATGCCAATCAATGGACAGCTTTGGCCAACTTTAGTAAGCTAGGAAGTCTCACAGAAACTAATCAAAATACCTCAGCTTGAAATAAATTTGTTGAAATAGTCTAAAACAAATTGAGATTTTTAAACAGATTACAGTATCTTTTTTTCTAAGCCAAAAATATTTCCCACCTGTCTTTGTAGTAATGGTGACTGTTCCATTCTGTCTCTTAAAGCCAGCTCAGTAGAAGAAACATTCCAGATTCTCCAGGGTTCTCAGAATTGTCTCATTGGCTGATGTGAGCACTGAGAACACAGGAATTAAAGAATATATCTCAAAGAAAAAGCCTAAATTCAGTACATGGCTACAACACTGAGATAGAACAGGTTGATCCTAAACAAAGCAAAAATCTCCCCTCTGTTAAGCTTGTACAACAACTGGTGCCAAAGATCTTAGTCTTTACTGTTAGCTCTTGATACAACAGTGATTGTCTTCATTGAATGATGCATTCTGACAAGTCAGGAAAGAAATCCCATCCTTTGATGTGAGGATTAACAAAACCATAACTGAATATTTCCTTTAAAAGGAGTATATTTTGGTCAAGATTTAAATAGGTTAGCACTATGCCTGAAAACCCATTCAAAGTTAGTTGAACTCAGCTCTTTAACAAGGCAAAAAACTGGTATTTCACAGAAGGAAAAAATCCACCTACAAAGTCAGTCACCTCAGAAGAGCTCTGGATTAAGCGATTAGCATTGCTGGAAAGGCACTCTAGCAGCCCCACCAAGAACTGGTTAATTTAACACAGGCACCTTCAGTTTTTCATACTTCTCCTTTTCCCTCCACACACACACACACAAAAAAAAAAAAAAAGAAAATGGAGGCTGCCTGCTCCACTTTTCTTGTTCCCCTACTTCACCATTCATCCCACTTATCTGCTTTCAGCTTCTGGAGATTTTCATTTATTTTCAAGCAGGCCTTCCACTCCTCTTACCTTCTGTAAACTGATACCAACATTTTCTGAGGCTCCAGCCATCTTCTATGACTACTTAACACTTTGCAAGACTTCTCTTTCTTTCATTTTGCTTTGAATCTAGTGCAGAAATGAAATTTTGTAGGTTTCAAGAGCTTAAATTAAGTACTTAGAACAAATAAAAGTATCAGGATAGAAAGGCTTAGGGATTTCTGTTTACTACCACATCAAAAATATGCCTGTCCATAACATGTATTATCAGAGAACTGTGTGTTAAGTCAAGGTAATACTCAGTTACTTACCTGTCTCAAGAGACTACTCAATGCAATTCATCATTAGACCTTGAAATTCTATGCAGATCCACTGAAAGCCAGTAACCACTCCCAAGTCTTCAGAGCTAGTTACATTCAGTTCCAAGTTCTAAACATCTAGAAATAGTTGAATAGAGTTTCCTTGCCTACCTGGTCACAACTTCTGACCTATAGCTTATAGTTCATAACTGTAATCCAATAACACTGCATCCAAAAACAACTCTTAACAGAGATAATTATGACTGCATTTAAGTTTTTGGACTTTCTTAGATATTTCAGCAAGTAATAAAATTTCATAAGTATCTCAAGTATTCATAGTAACAGCAAAACTGTGAGCAGCTAATTAAAACTGCTTTAGTAAAGCGTTTGTACTCACATACTACAATGAAAGTAGTCCCACATGCTATCCTTATCAAAGTTTACACTGAGTAGGTGCGTTCAAGGTTGCAAACACTCTTTGCAACCAGACTTACATGCTAGGAGTCTGGTATTACCTATTCATTACTAGATGTACTTTGTCAACTTGCTCTCTTGAACCCTTCTCATATATGTATATATACAGACATACAAACTAGTCAATCTTGATAAACTTCAAAGGCAAGATTTTTAAAAACTCAATACACAAGTATTAGTACTACATTACTCAAGTAACACTCGGCTCAAGTACAGAAAAATCAAGTGCTATTTGTGCTTTCTCACATATTTAAACCAAGTAAAGTCCAGATATTGTCTGTAAAAGTGATTTTTCCGTAACAGTTGTACTTTGCCTGGCAAGAACGAACAGCTCAAGTCTCACATAAACCAGTCTCAATCAATCATTTGTTCACTCATCTAGGAAGCTAGCTTCCATAAATTCATGCTCAACTTGAACATTTACTCTCAAATTCTACCATCCCAGCCTTTTAGATGCACAGTCCAATCAAGTGTTTTCAAACTTTAAGAAACAAGTATTCCAGATAACACCCTAGGTCAATAGATAATATTAAGGAAACAGGCTTTCAGGTGACTGTTGTTTTACTATTCATGCAATTAAACTGTTACTGCTAAGAAAAGTGACTGACTGAAGGCCATCCTTTCCTTCCCTTCAAGGAAGTATCAATCTTAGTATAGGAGGGTCTATAAACAACTGCCATAATGATCTGTACTACAGTCTTTGTAGCGTTTTATAACATTTGCCTGAGACATTAGGTTGTTAAATGTGTTGTAATACATGTGTCAGAAGTAGGATTTTTAAGAATTATACTCAGGTTCATGCTCATATTATCAGACATGATATCTTGCTGAACAGACTCGATCTCCAACTCAAGTCCAGTCAAGCTGCAGCTTAAACAGCAAAGCTCCCAGTCAGGCTTTGTCACCTAGTTTCATTGGCCTTACGAGCACTAACTTCTGAGAACTCCTTTTAAAGTAACATTTTGTTAATAGCAGCCAAATATTTTGTTTATTTTTAAGTACAAAAACCCAGCTTTCTTACCCTCTCCCAAGTTTTCAGTAGTTAATTGTTTTAGTTTCGCAAGTGAATTAAGAGTTGGCATCAACATGACTTTGTTAGTTTTGTATTTAACAGAAGTCACACAACATCCCTATTACAGAATACTTTTTTTTTTTTGCATGCAGCTCATTAACGCATGTCTGCAGACTGCTTCACTGTGGTCAAATTCATGCAGTGTTTACCCAAGTTCACGTTGCTGCAGCTATCCACAAAGCAGAGAATGCTCTGCTCTGATGGGAAGACACGTTCTGGAACAGCTAAGGAAGCAGATAGCTCTGGAGAACTTACCAAGCCTAATACTGATTCCTATCTTGAACACAGGGGCTCAACTTCACTTCTCCTAATATTGTATCACCTACATGACTGACTTATATAGTGAATGTATTTGGAGGCAATTTTTAAAAAACTGACCTGTTTTTAATTTTTGGCAAGCCTCACTTAAGTTGGGTGTAATATTGGAGTGTTTACTTAAGTGTTGCTATATTGACACAGTCATGAATTTTAGAATCAGAGCAAGGCTCTGTGCAGTCATGTAGCATTGTCTTCACTAGTGAGGAAAACACCCTTTTTTTTTTTTTAACATAGTTGTATGCATGATGGGCAGAGCACACCAATGTTAACTTCAGAGAGAGTTTATAAACCAGTTTAAGCAGAAAGGAAATAAAAGCATCAGGACCAGTCTGTAGCAAAGCCATCTATTATTTCAGAGAAAATAGATACCAGATGAAGGCATTTCTTACATGTCAGACTGATTAGTAAGTACTACTCCTGTTGTGCACTGTAACATACTCACACCATTCAGTGCATTTATATGCAATACTAATACTACCCTTCAGAAAAAGGAAGGCCAAGAAATACTCTATTTTGTCATAGACATCACCTTTACTGTTTTTCCAAGCAAGACAACTTAAGTAAAAAATCCAGAGCACAAAACACTTTGAAGTTTTAACTACCGCCATTTGTGATCATTCTGTGATGGTAATTTATACACTATTTCTGAAATCCCTCCTCCCAGAGCTTTAAGTGGGCTTCAAAAAGCATTACAAGTAAAAGAGCAAGTCAAGAGTAAGTTCAGTTTTGTCTAGTATTCCCAAATTCACAATTGTGTCTGGCAAGTTTCTTACCTTCCACATAATGATTCCAAGTCAGAAGCAGTTCTAATTAATGCCAATTCATTTTTCCCCACACAAGCCTTGAAACACAAGAAAAACTTATGCTCATTTTTTTTTTTTTTTTTTTTTTTAATAATGCTGTCTTGGTGCATAAATGTATTAATGCAGATTAAGAGTTTCCCCATGCAACTGGTTTAGGTGGCTACCAGATCGACAAGGGCTAAATTTGCTCCAGTTTTCTAATGATATTCTGAGAGGCAAAATAAATGCACACTCCAACTGTTTCAGCTGGAAGTCAAATGCCTCAACGTTTAACAGCAGGCTAATGAAGCATTCCCTTCCTACTAATGGGGTACTCTAAATACTGCTGCTTGCCAGAAAAAAAAAAAGCTTAAAAAAAAAAAAAAATACCGTAACTATTAGCTAATAAAAAAAAAAAAAAAAAAAAAAAAAGCTGTTTTCAATTTTCAGGAAGGGGAAATAGAATCAACAGTTCAACAGTACACATGAAAAGCTTGCATCTTTTCACTGACTTATTCACTTCACAATCACTGACAAGACTGATGTACATGTTTCTGCACCTGCACTTGTAAAAGCAGATAAAATATTTAATAGGTAATTTACAATGTATTTTACCAGCTTGGCATACAGGATGAACAGAATATATCAAAGTAGTTGACAGTTACAGGTTTGTGGAGGCCCTGCAAAAATATTACTTCATTTATCTGCTAATTAAAAAAAAAAAAAAAAAAAAAAAAAATCAATGTGCATTTTAGAAGTGATACAATTCAATCTAGCACAAAATACAAAGAGCTGCAAAAATGTATACCATTCCAACAACAACGTATATAAGTTATTAAATAATGATCTGATTTAAAAGAATATAAATGAAGCCTTTAAGTAGGTCTTTTCTACATGCATATTATTCCTCATTAAAGAAAAATATGTAAAAAGGCCATTGGTAATTGCTTTGTTAACCACTGTAGAAAATGCCAATTCTCTGGTCACAGACGCCACTAGTTTAGCACTTAAGGTCTCTGCAGTGTTAAATGTGATTACTTTTAAATACTGTTAACTCTATTACTCCATTGGTAAAGAACGCGTGACTTGGAATATGGCAGTCTTCATATTGAGAGGGCAGTGATGCACAGTTTTGTCACTATCCAGAAGAACAGCACCCTCCACTGCTCTGTACTTGTGGTTCATCATCAATGATCTGTACACCTCGCCTCGCTGTTCCTGACTGACTGGATCCATTGCCTCTTGCTCTTTCATCCACTTGAGCAGTTTCTATCATTCCTGCAAATATAGTTTATTAGATGAAATGTATTAGCATTCCATTCTATTATGACATAAGACCTTAAGATCTTAATCTATCTGAGTTACATGCACAAAGTTCAGCAAGACCAATTCGCTCAACTATGCACAAGTAAACACTCTGGAATCTCAAGGTGCAGACGAGAGAAAAATCTTAAGTCTTTTTCCTAGAGCATAAAACATATAGAAATTCCTGTTGACTTAAATGCTCTGATGTTCTGGAGTTACTGACCTTCAAAAGCTAGATTTACCCAACCATATTAGAAACATTTGGTCAACTAAAACCGCACACACAACCATGGAGGTGAAGTCCTGCTATAAGAATGCTACAAATAGGATAGCTTCCCTGTGTGGTGTTTTATCCTGGATTCAGTATTCTTTATCATCTGCTTCATCTGTACAGTTTCAAGTTTATGAACTGTAATTGACATCATCTGACAATATATTTGAGATATGTTGAAACAGACTATGAAGTAGACAGCAGTGAGAGCAATCACACTAAGCTTGATCTGAAGTTACTTAAAGCATGTTGAGTGAAACAGAATGCTCAGGACTCCAACAGAGCAAGAAAGATGTTCTTGAAGTACAGCATGAGTTTCCATCCACACATCAAGTTCACATAGCTGATCCAATACAGAAGTGGACTGAAGTACACTCAGAGGAACAGTTCTTCTCAATTATTTAAATCAAGGGTTGTTCTTTTTTGTTTTTTTTTTTTTTAATAGGATTTGAAAACTCTGTGTCTAAGCTCCTCGTGAACAAATTAGATAGTACCTACTTTTACAGAGGTCAAGAAACAGTTCTTCAATTCCTTTATTCTGCTTAGCTGATGTATGATAATGTTTTGCTCCGACAGATTCAGCATACCTGTAAGAATGCAGATGCAGAAGAGTAAGTTGCATTGAAGAACTCAGTCTTTCTAAGCCACTTTACATGAAGTGGAAAGAGGAGAGCTTTCTGTTCTTAACTCTTAATTCACACATGCTGATTTAACAAAGGGAACTGTGGTTAAAATTGAGCCATTAAAAAAAATATTAGCTTAAGTTCATTTCTAGACATGACATGAGCTAGAAATGTTGACTTCTGTCAGAAACGATGTAAAACTAAAGTTACACTTTGATCATTAAGGACACTCCAAAATTAAGATAGTAACAGAACACTCTGTAGAAGCCAGCCAGCCACAGCTAGTTATGCTTGCCAGTTGTTAGAAGCATCACAAATTTATTACTCCAACATAATTCTGCAATGACTGCTTCTATTAATAATTAGTGTGACTTACGTTTCTGCTTCTTGCACTGAAACATGTCTCTCTTTTTCCAAGTCTATTTTGTTACCTGTTGAGAACAAGTTAATATTTCATGTCTTCATACTCCTAAGTTAACAAAAGTCACAATCACTGTACTTCATCTTTTTTTCCCCCTCCTACAAGCAGCTTCAATAAAAACAGATTCTTACTCAAGTCTATTCAGACAATAACATCATTTAGAAGACCCCTTTCAGTCAAACATTTAGAAACCATGAGCTTCTGCAGCCTGATTAAGATAGCTGAGTACCTTGATTAGTTAAAAAAGAAAAGCAATGGCTTTTACTAGGCAAAAATCTTGTTTTCAAAGAGTATCCACATACCTATCCTCCTGAAAGTGTTTAAATCAGATCTAATGATTAAATTTTAGTATTTACATGCATTTGTAAAAAATCATTGAAATATCCAAGTTTTAGTCTTATCCCCACACCTAAGCATTTAATTTTGAAAGCAGACAACTACTGAGTCTGTGCCACTGCAAATAGGTCATAAAGAAAAAACAAGGAGTCAAGGTACTTGCCAGAAGGATCTGACACATTTGATATATCTTTCTTCATTCAACTATGAATTTTGCAACTTGTCTTAACCATGCGCTTCAGCCATAGTGCATCACTAAGCTTTTCCCAAATTAACTCTCATTTCCTCCTATTGCAATCCCTTGAAACTTCTAGCTCCAAATGAGATTTTAATTGCCAAATTCACTTAAGATTCATCCTTTCATATGCACAAGCTGTTACAGTAGTGTTTAGAAGACAATATCAAAAGAAACATTTGCAATTCAGTCACTAGAATCACATGTTAAAGAGTACTTACCTACTATACATAAACAGATTTCATTGCCCAGCATTTTTCTTAATTCCTTAACCCAGTTTTTTACCTGCATAAAGAACAGAGGTAAGTTTGATTTCTCATGACACCCTGCCAGTTTAGGCATTGTGGAAATGGCCCACATCCTTCTTTAACTGCTTAAGTCTAAGTTCAGAGCAACAGAGACTGACAGAACATTTCCTACTCCTCTAGAGGGAAGTCCTGCTGTTCTTGCCACAAACTCATCAGGACCAGACTCCTCAGGAAAGCATATCAGTTTTCAGCTGGGGCATCCTATGGAGCAACAGCATGACACAGGATTGGACAAAAACTCACCTGTTTCAACCTGATCAACTAATACTTTAAAGTAGTTAGTGATCAATTTTCACATTAAATGAAGACTAGGAAGTTCAAATATCTATTATCATCAAGAATGCAACGTTCTTGCTGCTGTGTACTGTGATTTCGAGTGTTCATAATCTGAAGCTTAACATCACTTAATATATTTGAGCAATTTGATTTATGCAGTAGAGAACAGTATATTATCACAAAAGTACTCATTCCATATTCATAGTCTGTCACACATTAATTCTCTGGTGTTCTTTGAATAACTCCACTAGATCTTTATAAAGAGTGGGCTTCAAAAAAAAAAATAAATAAATAAAGGTGCACACTTAAATTACATGACCTGATTCTGCAGACGTAATATTATCTGCACATGACATGGTCAGGTATTAATCCTATTATTCAGGCAAATTAAGCATTGGTGCTATCCCTAAAACAGAAGATTCCCCATGAGCGCACTCATATCATAGACTCCCTTCCAATCAGGACAGACTTTGCACAGAGGTAAAAATCTGTTTGGTACCTTCTGAAAAGAGTCCTCGTCTGTTATATCGTACACTAGGATAGCACCATTAGAGTCTCTGTAGTAGATCGGCCCCAGTGCGTGAAATCTTTCTTGTCCAGCTGTATCCTGCATTTTAAAAAACAACACTTTAGTATGTAACACTGTAACTTTAAGAGATCCCAATGACTTCTAACTCCTACTTTATTATGAAGTGCCTAACATTTAAGTTCAATCAAACAGAATATTTTCCTGAAAAATAACTTATCTAGGGAGGGAGTGCATAGTGGGGAGGACAGTGAGGAAAGCAAACATACCCATATTGCAAGGTTTACTCTTTTCCCACCAATATTCAGCTTCTTCGTAAGAAAGGATGCCTGGAAAGAAAAAACAGAGTTAAGTTTTCATACAAACATGTCTGTCTGACTTCAGGTTTATTTACTAATGAAAATATTTGAATCAACAGAAAACAGATTTCTGAATCTAAATACTCCCTGAGCCAGAAGGCTGGGTCAATACACTAAGCTGGTTAGTCATTTCACTACAGTTTGCCAGAAGTCTGTTCTAAATAAATTTGCCTTAAGCAAGTTGTTTCCTACATCTTTTGCTGTTGCTCTGAATGATTTAGGAGAGATAAGAAGGTTGAGTTCTGAATAAGGATAAGCCTAAGATGAACTTGAAACACTTCACAAGAGTAAGCAAAGCTACTGGGATTTTAAGGCTGCAGGCATTAGCACAACAGTTCAATACTAGTGAAACAGTAAAAATAAATCAAGTTTAGAGCTAGAATTCTCAAAACATTAGTATTTTGCAAGAAGTTCCTTCATCTGCATTTTTTTCCCCTGCTGAAATGAGCTCACAGCTCTCTTCATTTTATTCCTTCCCTCAGTATTCATTCAGATACCATTCCTGAAAGCCTCGTGTTAATGTTTCTCAAGTAATAACAGAACCAGAGGAAGGAGGGGAAGCAGTACACACACAAAAAGAAAGCAAGTGGTAGGGTGAAAAGTTTCAGAAGCAGCATACATGTTGCTCTACATATTCTACTACACTGTCTTCTGAAAACATTTGACATGACTAGTCCATACTGCAAGCTTAGCCTGATTTCTGTAACTCAGGAAGATGCCTGCTCTCAGAGCCTGCATGATGCAATTTTCAAATGTTATCCTTCTGCTACCCATTAGATAATTCACCAGCCAAAAAGAAGTATTAAAAATTGATATTAGTTCAGTAGATAGAACAGGCTTTGAAGCAGTCAATGCATTAAGAACCTATTAGCTCCATCCTGAAGATCAGGTTAACAAGCAACAGGTTAACAACAGACAATTCAATTGCCAAGATTAACTTCAGTTTGTTTCCCAAGTTTACCTGGTTCCCATTCAGTTTCACCTCAGCATACGTTTGGATATCAAGTACTGAGTGAATAAACATTCATCTTAGATCATTTTAGGCTGGCCTGTAGCTTCTCAGCACAATCCCTCTGTGTAAGAGCTCTAATCAGGCACTCAGCTGACTAAAAATCATGTGTATGTAGAAAGGGAAAACGTCATCGGCCAGGTCAGCTGCATGAACCAGTTTGCTGCTTAATTTACACCAGCATAAACTGCTGTTAAAAGTATCTTCCTCGAGTCCTTCCTGTGTTAAACTAATCTAGCATCAACTCTGGCATGAGTATGACTGAAGATGAGTCAGTAATTTCCCTCTGTGTTTTAAAAGAAGCCATACCCTCCCTGCAAAGTTCCCACAAAGTCTGGGAAAAAAGTGGAGCAGATCCAGAAAGACAGAACACAGGAAAGAAAAACACCCTGAGACTTTCCAAGCGCAGGCAGAAAGGAACTAATCTTGACCATTGTGTTGAACACACCTAGGGTTTAAAACCCCTTCAGTCTGCAGTATGGTGGTGGAAATCAACTTCAGGAAGAGTTCCAGAGAGCAAGTTTGAAGTATTTAAAACACTGGTCTACTTGTAACAAAGAGCTTGACAGCAGAGCTGCAAGTCTTAAACATCAGGGCAAGTTGTACAGAAGTTCTTTTGCAGCTTTCACTCATCTGTTCCTAAGGATCATAAAATCAGTGTCTAGTCTCATAATTTGTTCCACAGCATCAGTTTAAAAGTTGTAAGCTCAGACATTTTAATAGACCAACACCTGGATCATATTAAGAAAAGTTATGAGCTAGCCATACTGAATCAAGCTTACCTGCCAACATTTTATTGATCCACTGCACTAAAACATTTGATATTCTACTGTACATCTCAGAGGAAAAGCTGTTCAGAGCACTGTTTGCTTTGGTCACTGTAATAAAGCTCAACTCTGCCCAGTTGATGCAAGATTGGCAAAAAAAAAAAAAAAAAAAAAAAAAAACAACACTCTAGAACCACATCTATGGACCTCTGGAAAGAAAAAATCTTCACTGAAAAAGGATTTGCATTAAAAACCACAAAAAAAAACAAAAAAAAAAACAAAAAAACAATATTCATGAGGTTAAGTCATCATGGCTTTGGACACTGACCCAGTAAGGATAGCTGTGCTGTTTAGTTGCCTGACATATCAAATATTAAGATAGGTTTTCATCTCACAGATAAGGCATTGTGGTTTCTTTTTCCTGTTTTGTTTTATAGTAACACATCCCACAGGTCACCATAGTTTTGGATTAAACATTATCTTTTAGCACTGAAAATAGAGCATTTCCTTTTCTATAGATCCAAACATTAGAAGGCCAATACTCCCAGACAAGTCTTTTAGTGCTTCCTGCAAGAAGTGACATGAGTCAGCAGCAAGGCCATTTAGGATTGACTACTGTATTTGCACTCCACACCAAAACTTGATGAATTTGTACTGTTTTAGATAACAGTCCAATCAAATCCTAGACTCCTAAGCAAAGTGATGATAGTCTATATCAGATACCCTGATTAGAATGAAGTTTATATATAAACTTGCTTGTTAACAAGGCTGATAGTCATAGCTAATAATGAGCCGAATGCTGTGAGAAACAGTCAATACTATATTACACTTTAAATGCCTCATTCCTCTAATGTATTTATATACTTGAAGAATACTGTTTGCAGGTCCTATTCTTAAATTAAAAGCTATAGGTAAGTCTGGCATAATTAGCATCAGTAACGTGTATTTTAAAAGCTACAGAGCCATACACTCCAAAGACAAAACAGCTAATATTTGACATTCTGTAGTTATACCCACACACATTTCCATTGGTCTCATGGAAGAGCAAGGTTATTGCTCTCCATCCATTCTGAAATTAGAGATCAAAAAGCTAAAGATCAAAGGAGCAGCAGGACTTAAGTTTTTAGAAATCTGGGGAGTCCAACGAGTAAAGAGAATCTTCACTACCGACTGTGAGTTCTCCTGTCCAACCCAGCTCTGAGGTGAGGGAAAGCATCAGCTACCAAGTGTGGAAGCCTTTGGAAGCAATGCCATGCAGACAGCATTATATGACTGCACACTGAAGAGGATCAACATGTGTTCTCATCTCCTGAGAATTTACCCGATTGAGTAATAGGGAGTTAAGTGTCAGTCATGACTTAATTTATAATCAGCGACTCCTTTCCACATTCTTTTCATTATTATGGCAATTCATTTTAGCTCTGACTTCCAAAAAACAAGTGTATGGGACTACAGTTAATTCCAAGATAAGTAATCTCAAGCAGCTCTTTGAAGTAAACTAACCTTGGTGTTTTGACTCAAGTGCCTTATGACTAGTGTGAAGAATGCTCATATGCTTAGAAGGAAAGAATAATGCAATTATGAGCACTAAAATATCAGTCTCTTTATGCGCTCCTAGAAAAACTTTGTTCTTTTAATTCTCTTTTAAGAGCTCAGTACCACATGTGCGTGATGCCATGCTGGGAGCTGACAAGAACACAAGGAAGACTCAGCTGGAAAAGATGCACTTGAAAGTCTCTAGAATATAGCAGGTTTACATCATCTGCCCCTTAACTGCTTTATACCAGGCATACAAACACTACCTGCAGCCCTGGACTTCCTTGTACTGCTTTTTCTAAGCTGTCTTATACACGCAAGACAACTTTTCCTGGTTACATGAGTCCAAAGCACTGAGGATCAGTACATACCACTAGCACCATCTTGTCAGTGGCTTAGTACACCAAAGCTGTATTTATCCTGAGTAATTAACAGATAGTACCCATCCACATTTTAAAAAAAGATAACAGGTTTTATTATCACTTGGTTTCATCTTACAGCTTAGAATCCTTTTAAGAAGAAAATACTGACCTCCATATTTTGATCAATGGGAACCAATTCCAACCAGTCCTAACAGAAGGTTATGGATTGTCACCTTTGTCAAGAAAGAAAAGCCGCAACAAAAACAAGGCTACCTTTCCTACGTTTTCCTTCAGCAGATCAAAGGCTGCCTTAATTTCAATCTGCATATCACTGGTATCTGATGTAAATGACTCCAAGCTAACAGAACTCCAGTAACATGCCCTGCAGCCTCCTAATCTTGATAGAAGCAAGTCCCAGTTTACTATTGCCTTCTAACCAGCAGATGGAAAAAGAGCAGGAGGGGAGAGAGAGACAGCTCCCTTTCAATAAAGCATTCTGTTACCTACAAATAGGTGACTTTCCCCACTGCTAGTACATCACCAACCTTCACAATAGGATACTGCAAAGTACAGACTTGCACAGCGCTAGAAGACTCACACTGACCAGCTGAAGGTCTTCCTGTGCTCTCTCAAATCACTGTGGCCCCACTGCAGGAAGCCCCAGCCAACTGGGGGCAACCCAACCTACAATACTTCAGAAAGTTGTCGTCTCACCATGTTTTTGCTGCAAAAAGGTTGGCATGAAGTACAACAGCACCTCTACCTCAGCACTCCCTGCTAAATCAGATTACAGTGGATTGCGAGGCCCTCTTTCCACTGACCAGTAATTTGTTTCTATATGGCTCATCACTGTGGCTCCTTTGCCGAATAGGAATCCAATATTTATCTAATTTTGGCTTAGTTGGAACAGAAAGCTATTTGCTTCAATACTTCGAACTGACGCCACAAAGCAAAGTCACTTTATCAAATTAAGCCCTTAAAAAATTCTTACAAAAATGTCACTGTTTTGTTAGCCTCTTTTTTTTTTTTTTTTTTTTTTTAAATGAATGTTTTCATTAGGTTTGGTAACTCCTTCCACTGCCATTCTTCTACAACTGCAAGATGCAGAAAAACAAGAATGATGATTCACAAGCGCACAGCACATACAGTAAGATTCAACAACTGACACCGCATTTAACAATCAATAAGACACAGAACTAAGGAGGTTCCAGAACAAAAGTAAGCAGGGTGAATTAAGACACACTGCAACTAGTTAAAATATACAGAGAGCAACTAGAAACCTAATCACAGCAGAGGGACAGAACTTCAACATCACATGTGAGCATGTGCTCCCCTTCCTTTACAAGGAACTTCCATTCCCCACAGGCAGCCTCAAGCAAAAGCTCTGGGCTGTAGCATCTAGACAGACATTTTACTGTCAGTGTTTTGGGGCCACTTGTATTTCCATTTTATGATGCCTGTGACCCAGCTCACTTTTGGTTTCTAATTTTAGGCTTTCCGCTGCAGATTTTAAGAGACAACAAAACCAGAGCTATATCACGTGACAAGCTATTCTTTTTACACAGGATATCAGAATTCAGCTATACACAATCACTGCAGCACACTTCTAAACACGTTTGCTCAACCCTAACTACACTTCTGGTGGTACAGCAACAGAAGTTACAACTGCAGCTCTGACATCTACCAACTGCTGATTGCTTTTGTAGTGTGCCTCTGTAGCAATCAGATCTACCATTAGCTTGCCATGCATCACACTCAGTAGACCTACTAATAGCTACATCTAACAGCCCATGTATGAGCACAGGCAAATGAACTGCAAAATATTTTCAGTTGCCTAAAATAAATACGGAGCAACAGTACCTGTCGATGAAATATTAAGCATACTGTTTCCAATGCGCCTCTAACACGTCCTTTCTTTATAAAGTTTCAGGATTACACACTCCAAGATATCCAGCCTGCTGGAATCTCCCCCAAGATATGCATGAATAGCACGCAGCCACCCCGAGGCACCACCATTTACCCTGTATTTCACAGGACTTCAAAAGCGGTTCAGAACCCACTTGGTGGCAAGGTTTGTTTCTTTATTTATGAGAAAACATAGCGAGCACAGCATACACTGCAGTGCTAAAATCACATACATGCCCATGATGGGTAGAAAAGATGCCATGCAGCTGCAAATGAAGAGGCTAAGCATGCAGAGAGGGCTCAAGAGACACGTGCTGATTGTACAATCCACAACATGAAACTCAAAACACATTTTCCAAGGCCAAGTAGAACACATGTGCGTTTTGTTGTGTGGGATGCAAACCGCTCAGCACTGGCAGGCAGCGACAAACACTGCTTTCCAGTGGGCACCCATCACCCTTCCACCAGTGCGATTTCGCTGCTCAGATGTTTGTAAGTTCAGCAATAACTCGGGCTAAAATTCAGGGAGATTACACGAGGGCCTCGTGAATCTTGTCAGTTATTAAATCATAAGCCTTAATCTCACTTATGATGAGACCCACTTGTCTGCTGGCACTGAGGTAACTCAGGCACCGCGTCTGCCAAGCAGAGGAAGGCTGTCATTACCAGAAACGCAGCACACACGTAGCACTCAGTCACCAGCCTACCGCCGACGATCACAACAGCAGCCACGCTACTTTAAAGCCGCGCTTCCGCATCCCAAGACGCGAAGGAACATATACACGAACACGCTTAGGCAAGAGCCACCAAACGGAAAGCGAGACCCCGAAGCACCGCCTTCCGCTACGGCCGAAGAGAAGAAGCTCAACAGCAGCCCCCAGCATCGCCCCTCAGGGGAAGGACAGCCGCGCCGCCCTCCCTCCCCTCCCCCCCAGCCCCGCGCTGCCTCCCGCCCGGCCCGCACCTGCAGCGTGGTGATGTGCTTGTCGTTGAACTTGTTCTCGCAGTAGCGCAGCACCAGGGAGGTTTTCCCCACGCAGCCCTCCCCGAGAAGCACCACCTTGAAGGAGAAGCTGCGACCACCGGCCGCCGCGCCGGTCCCCGCCGCCATCCGCGTCCCGCCGCCCGCCGGGGCCGTCTCACATCCACCGCCCCGCTCTGCGGCCGCGGGGCGCCGCCGCCCGCAGGGAGGAGGAGCGCAAGGAACAGGCGGGAGGAGGCGCCGCGGAGACGACAGACAGACACAACCACAAACACCTTCCCGCAGCAAGCGGCCCCGCTGCCCCTAATGGCGTCTTCTTCCTCCTACGTCACGCACCGCCCGGTCACGCGCCGCGTCGCCGCCAATGGGAGGGGCGGGAGCGGCGGCGGCGAGAGGCCACGCCCCCCCTTTGCTCGTGGGCGGGGGCAATCCGCCGCGAAGGCGGGGCATGGCGGGCGGGGTGCGCTGTGCCGCCCGGCTCCGGCTGCGGCGGTGTCGTGTGGGGAGGTGAAGGGGCCGAGCAGTCCCCTGGGTGCCCTGTAAATCGGAGCGATGAGGCACTCGGGGTTTACCAATAGATTACCTTATCCAGAAATACAGTGTTGGAAGGGAAACAAAGCCAACAAAGCCACGCAAGGTTCGTGCGCACATGTGATTTGTGCTTAAATGTCTCCTCGAGGCTTTCCACCTGTGGTAAAACCATGGTGCTGTGAGTGAGAAGATAAAACCTCTGTCAACAGGTGATAAGCATGCCTTTTGATCTGCCCACTGCCAGCAGCTCCATCCGTACAAACTATTGGTACTTAAATATTTGTCTGCCCATGAACAGTCAGTAACTAAATGCTTTGAAACAGAGATGTGGGAACAGACAGTGAAAAAGGCAGAAGAAAAACACGTGCAGAATGGCCTGGTTGGAAGGATCCTCAAGGATCATGAATCTCCAAGCCCTCTGCCACAGGCAGGCCACCAACCTTTAGATCTAGTACTAGACCAGGCTGCCCAGGGCCCCATCCAACCTGGCTTTGAACACGTCCAGGGACGGGGCATCCACAGCTTCTCTGGGCAGCCTGTGCCAGCATCTCACCGCTCTCATAGTAAAGATCTTCCCCCTGACATCCAACCTAAATCTTCCCTCCTTCAACTTTAAACCATTCCCTCGTCCTATCACTATCTACCCAAGTAAAAAGTTGATTCCCTTCCTGCTTATAATCCCTTTTTAAATACTGCTTTTTAAATGCTGCAGTGAGGTCTCCCTGCAGCCTTCTCCAGGTTGATCAGCTTCTTCAGCCTGTCTTCACGGGGAAGGTTCTGCAGCCCTCTGATCATCTTTGTGGCCCTCCTCTGGCCCCTCTCTAGCAGCTCCCAGTTCTTCTGTAGAACTCCTTGATTGCTGGGCTCCTTCCTGGAATCAGAGAATGTTTTGGGTTGGAAGGGACCTTAAAGATCATCCAGTTCCAACCCCTCTGTGGTGGGCAGGAACACCTCCCGCTGGGTCAGGCTGCCCAGGCCGCATCCATCCTGGCTCTGAGCATCTCCAGGATTGGGGAGATGCCCACTCTCCTCTGGGCAGCTCACGAACCTGTATTTCTCCAGCAGCATCTCATACATCCAAGAACCGGGTAACTGTCTTGTAAAATTGAATATCCTTCCTAAATTAAAAGCATTCTGCACATAGCAATCCAAACTGCTGCAATGTAACTCCTCTCTAGTGATCATTTAGTGGTAAGAAAAGTAATGCTTATGAAAAGACATCACAGTGCAATTTCCTTTGTCAGATAAGACTAATGCTCTGTTGTGTGAGAATGAATAGAGGAAAGAACGGAGAGCACTTCCAGGAGAACAAAGATCAAATTTCCTGGAGCAAGAAGCCTCATTAATGAGCAGCATTGCATCCACATAGAAAATGGATTTGTTTTCCCCTGATGTAAGCGAAGGAAACAGGACAAGGTGAAAAATCAATGCAGTCAAAATCTCTAAGACTATCTTTTCTTTAAACGCATTCCTAGTTTTATCAGCAATTGGTTGTTTCAGCAAGTTAGGATAAAAATACTGTGTTGCTGGAAAGTGACACTGACTTCTGTCAATCCTGCCTTCCATGTCTGAGCTGTACAACTGCCCAGCACATCAGTAAGTCTTCTAGGCCAAACGGATGAAGAAGTGAGATCTGCTTGGATGAAGGTTGCACAGACAGTGGAAGTCGATGCTTGAGGGCATGAGCTGCTGGCACAGCTCCACAAGAGTCATCAGGGAGAGTCACTGCACCAAGTCCATGAGCTGACGTTCCTGACCACAACTGTGAGCACTGCTTTTCTAACAGAGCACAGCTTAGCATAAGACACCATCTGGAGTTAGTTCTGTCAGAGTGCATTTCTCCAACAGACTTGCACCATGCTGCACAGCCAGAAGAGGCATCTTCCCACTGATGATAAGCACTTTCAAGTTACTACTTGGTTCCATCATTACTATTTTCCTCTCTCTTGTCTGGAACCTGTGGTTACAGATGCGCTTGTATAGCAAAAACTATAATATCCAAAATTTCAGCCACCAGTACTAAATGAAATTAAAAGGCCGATATGGCTGAGAACAGAAAATTCTGTATGAGCTATAAAAAGTGTCACATTTCACTCTAATCTGACATGTGCGATACTAAAATCCGCAAATCTAAATATCTGTGATGGTTATCAATTTATTTTTATAGTGGTAATTAAATTTGGAAGTCCTTGTTTTATTTCAGAATATTTGAGAACGCCTTTTTTTCCACTTAATATGGTGTGCTTCCCCTTTTTACCTAGCTTCCTAAAAATACTTCTACAAAACTTCTGCTTTAATTTTTCTTCCATATTGATCTTTTCATACCATTTTTCAAAACTCTTAAAGAAGCTATTTTTACAAGGCAATCTATTTTGTAGATAACTTACAGCCCTGTATTCCTTCATCACTGCCCTTGAGATTCAGGATATCTGCTGCTGCAGACAGGGCTGGCAGTCAACAGATGTGTTTGAAAATGGAGCTTGTAGCTCACTGGCCCTGAGGCAATAGCACTGTGATAGTGGTTTTGTAGTGAAGCAGTCAGACACAAAGTAGTGCTTTTGTTGCGTGAGCTCCAGGACTACAGATGCCCTGCACAGTGAGGATGTAGCTGATAGCCCCTTGGGTTGGAGTTCTTTTCATCTAACTTGTGGACACCTGCATGGAGTCAGGTTAATTCTCTTCAATCTGTTTGAAGAGGAATGCAGCTGACTTGGCAGCATGTGTTTTTCCCCCGCAGCTTCAGTGGAAGAGCTGTCACCAGTGCTATGTACAAGAGGACAATCACTTCCCAACCCTATTGCCTGCACTATTTCTGATGCAGGCCAGGATGCTGTTGGTTGTCTTGGCCTCTTGGGCACACTTCTAGCTCACATTCGGATGGCTGTTGACCAGCACCACCAGGTCCTTCTCTGCTGAGCAGCTTTCCAGCTGCTCTTCCCCAATCCCATACCAGGGCATGGAGTTGTTACGGCCCAAGTGCAGTGTCCGGTACTGAACCTTGCTGAACATCAAACAATTGGACATGGTCCTTTGATCCAGTCTATCATGACCCCTATGTAGAACCTATCCCAGATATTACGGTACCAAAACTGATTGCACCATTGTGTGTATTGCCACTACTTTTTGTAGTTTACACTACTTTACACAATCCTTTGCTTCAGGTCATCTTTGAGAATGCAAATCATGTACTTAATTATAAAATTTTACATGTCTCAATTCCAGTGTAAAATAAAGTGTATTTAGTAGCTGTGCATCAGAGATTATGGTCTAGTTGGTCATACCTGCAACAGCATGAACACTTTTCATGCCACAGACCTCACAAAATTGATCTGATCTCCTTCTTTAATCAAGTGACCCATCTGGTAGATGAAGGAAAGGCTGTTAATGTAGTCTACCTGTAATTCAGCAAAGCCTTTGACACAGTCTCCCACAGTATTCTCCTTGCAGAAGACAGCTGGCAGCCCATGGCTTAGACAGGTACACTCTTTGCTGGGTAAAGAACTGGCTGTATGGCCGGGCCCACAGAGTGATGGTGAATGGAGTTAAATCCAGCTGGTGTCCGGGCACGAGTGGTGTTTCCCAGGTGTTGATACTGGGGCCTGTCTTGTTTAATGTCGTTTTGATGAGCTGGGTGAGGGCATTGAGTGCACCCTCAGTAAGTTTGCAGATGACGCCAAGTTGGGGGGAAGCGTTGATCTGCCTGGGAGTAGGAAGGGCTCTTCAAGGGGATCTGGACAGTCTGGATAGCTGGGCTGAGGCCAGTGGGATGAAATTCAACGAGACCAAATGCTGAGTACTGCATTTTGGCCACAGCAATCCCTGGCAATGCTACAGGCTTAGGGGCAGAGTAGCTGGAAGACTGTGTGGAGGAAATGAATCTGGAGGTGTTGGCTGATGCTCAGCGAAGCAGAGCCAGCAGTATGCCTACGTGGCCAAGTAGGCCAATGGCATCCTGGCTTGTTTAAGAAATAGTGTGGCCATCAGGAGCAGGGAGGTGATGGTTCTGCTGTGCTCAGCACTGATGAGACCAAACCTCAAGTACCATGTTCAGCTTTGAGCCCCTCACTGTAAGAAAGACATTGAGTGTACTGGAGGGCAACAAAGCTAGTGAAGAGTCTGAAGCACAAATCTTATGGGAGTGGCTGAGGGAACTGGGATTTTTCAGTCTGAAGAAGAGGTAGCTCAGGGGAGACCTTATTGCCCTCTATAACTACATGAAAGGAGATTGTAATGAGGTAGGGGTCAGCCTCTTTTCCCATGTAACTAGTGACAGGATGAGAGGGAATGACCTCAAGTTGTGCTAGAGGAGGTTCAGGTTGGATATTAGGAAAAATTTCTTCTCTGAAATTTCTTCTTTGCTGGAATGGGTTGCCTAGTAAGGTAGTTGAGTCATCGTCCCTGGAGGTGTTCAGGAAACATTTAGGTGTTATACTAAGGTGTTATACTATACATGTTTACTGAGGAAATACTGGTGGTAGGAGCACAGTTGGACGAGATGATCTTGGATGTCTTTTTCAACCTCGGTGATTCTGTGATTGTATTCTGTGATTCTATGATTTCTGGGTAATTATCAGTTCCGCATAAACTACAAAGGTGGAAGTTACTGTGCAGAT